GAGAAGCAGCAATAGTTTATAATCAGTTTATTCACTGCATATTAATTAATAAAAAAACACAGGAACTGTTGCAAAAAATGCAGTAGTTGAGTTAAACTCTGTGATCTTTGCTTTCATTCCTTTTACTCCCCCCTTAAATAATATGAACGGACTTTTCCTTTAAATAAACAATTTAATACATTCTTTATATACTAGGTTTTAAATGGTTGAACATCTGGCTATATACTATATATTGTATTTTGTATGTTTTATATTGTTTGTCTTATTTGTCTGCACCTTCAACACAAAGTAAAGTTCCTTCTAACTGCAAACCTACTTGGCAGTAAATCTGATTCTGATCTGCATTCTGAAAACATCAGGCCGACTATCTCTACTCAGAGTTCCTTAACGTCTTATCTTGAGAAGAAAACTTGATTCTCCTGCAGGATCTACAAGGTCTGGTGTCGCAGCAGCGGGACGACATTGTGGCGTTGCGGACGGCGGCCGATCACATGGAGGAGAAGCTAAAAGCGGAAATCCTGTTCCTGAAGGAGCAGATCCAGGCGGAGCAGTGTCTGAAGGAGAACCTGGAGGACACGCTGCAGCTGGAGATTGAGGGCTGCAAGGAGGAAATAGGTGAGAGTTTCTGGGGTAAACATCCATCACGCTGCTGTTTTCTGGACATTTTTTTTAATAAACTTCCTTCTGTTTCTGCTTTTTGTTTTTCCTCCATTGATCATTGTCTTACAGACATCTTGGAAGGTATGAAAAAAAAACTGGAAAAGCTCCATTTAACAGCTTGTGTGTGAGAAGCAAACAGTTCCTTGCAAAAACATTCATATTCTTTTTCTTATTTGTGTATTTTACTTGAAATTGACCACATAGGGAAGCAGGGAGGCTGAATAAAAATGCATAAAACACTTTAGATATTTGAATTATTTAATAGTTAATTACACAATCAATTAACTTTCTGGTTTTAACATAAGAAAATATGGGAAAAAAATAAGGGGTATGAATGATTTCTGCAAGGCACTGTTTTTAATGGATAAACCATGAAAAATGTAGACATTTTATTACCTCACCTTGATAACAGCCATTAGAAAACTCACCTCACTTCGCTTTATGTTTCAAACTACAGTACAGGCGTCTTAAAAGTTCCTCCTTTTTATTTCCTTCACACTTTAATACTGATAAACCGGAATTAATTGCAACCTTTAAAGAGCCTCATATTTAGTAGTTCCTCTTTTTAAGCTTTTTTAAACCTTTGCAGCTTTTCCTGTTGTTCTACTTCACTCCTGGACTATTTTAATAATGTTCTTTCTCATAATAAGATAAGTGGGGGATGACTTAAAGCTGTTGTGGAGGATTTTCATGAATTTCTGAAAAGATCCGCCCTCTCTACTCTACAACAAATCGCACGTACAAGAGCATGCAGGAGCCGATTTTCTCCTCATAAACACTCTGTTTAAAAGTTGCAGTTCTTATCCCTCATGCAAGCTCAAACGTTTTCGAAGTTATCACACCAGTATATTTATATGAATGCCAACAACAAAAAAACTTTACAAAAACACTTTATAAAAAATTTCATGTACAGGTTTATTTTTGTACATAAATCTTGCCCTTCTGAGGTTTGTGAAGATGAATCTGTTTTTCATGGTCCAATATTGTGTCACAAACCTGAAAAAATAATCTACTAGTTTAATAATGGGGAAGCTATTAGTCAGCGATATATATTTTTAATATATGAAAACTATTTATTTTCTGAGAATGTCTTTATTTAAGAGCAACTATGCAAATTAACTAACATCTAGAAAAAGTAGACTATATCTATTATTTTTCATGTGAAACCCAGGTTATTCATTCTTCTTTGCCTTTTCTCTAAAGTGCTTTAAATCAGTCCTAGCTGTCTTTATCCATGCTGGATCAGATCCTGAAAATAAGGTAGGAATCAAGCCTTAGCCTCGCTGCATGCAGTTAGCCTAGCCTTGGAGCTAAACAAGGTCCTGGAAAAGGACGGTTCTTGCACTATTTCTCTCTCTCTCTCTCTCCAATGCGTTTCGATCTCCTGCGACTCGACCTGTTAGTCACCTGTAAAATGTCTGCGCTGTGGCGGGAGGTGTT